ACTTTACAATACTTACCCGTTTCTCTTCAATATTATAAGAACTAGTTCATCGAGACACAATTGAGGAAAACAAACTGAGGCTTAGGATTTTGTCTTAAAATTGTAGGCCTCTTTTAATTTGAGTATTTTATGTGTATAATTATTGATGATATTGCCAATTGAGAGTTTATATATGCATTTACTTGTATTATGTGTTGTTTTATTAAACTATGTATTTTAGGCTATAGGTTAAGTATATATGTAAATTATGAAATGTAAAAAGGGCTAAAATACTAATGCAAGTAAGAAGTGGGTAAAAATGTGAATGTTGTTGAATGACTATGAGGTTTATGACATTGAGGCTCCCACTTCTATTTTTTTGATTAAGGGGTTGAGCATTAAAAATGTGTTACATATGATGTTTTTAAGATATAGTGTATTGCACAAGTCCGTTATGATCTATTGAGTGTGATCGGGGGTGTAAATTAGGCTTCTGGCACTTGCAATGAAATTTAGATACCCAAGTTATGTTTAAAATGTGAAAATGAGTATTATGAGAAATGGATGTCCAATTTCTAATTGAGGAATAACTTAATTGTGAAATTAGTGTCATTAGCTAAAGTTAAAAGAAAGCTCTCTATAAATAGTTAGATCAACTCAAAAGGATGTTGGACAGAGAAATAGGGTGTGTTGGCATGCAATATGCCCGATGTATGGCACAGAGAGAAACAAGCTATGGTGCACGAATGACAAGCCATGGCGCATGTTCATTTTTTATACTATTTCACTTGTTTCAACTTTTATGCAAATAATTTGACTCTATTTAGATTCTCATGCTTCCACATACCATTTGCACTTTAATTTATACTTGTAAAGATGTTTTGTCATGTGAGAAATCTTTGAAAACTTGAGATCCTATTTTGATAAATGTTACAAACTTAGTAAATCTTATTTAGGGTTAATTCCTTGATCACCTTGAATTTGAAGTTAATTGAAAAATAGTAAGCGAGACCTTACACAAGCAACATGCCACCACTGAGTCTTGTTAAATAATGTATTGAAACCATCAAGACCAGGGGATTTAAGACTTCCCATGTCAAAAATAGCTCTCTTAACCTCTTTATCATTGAAGCAACCAGACAAGTTATCAAGTAAAGAAGAATTAATCTTTGGATAATGTGAGATAGTCATCAAATCATGTCTAACTCCAGCCTTTTCATTAAAGAAATTCCTAAAGTATGAAATAGCAATCTTCTGAATTTAATCCACATCATAAGTCCATTCTCCATTTTCATTATGTATACTCAAGATTTTGTTTCTCTTCCTTCGTGCATTCAACCTCACATGAAAGTACTTAGAATTTTTATCCCCTATTTGAAACCACTTACATTTAGCCTTTTGTGCCCAAAGAAGACTCTCCTAGTACAAAACTTCTTTAAGCTCAAGCCACAATTTAGCTTGAATCAATTCAGTAGCATAAGGAGAACAACTTGAATAATTATTTCTAGCCAAACCCTTTATCTATAACCTCTTTTTATAGCCCAAATATCTAAATACCTCCTCCCTCCAAATATGAATTTTAGAAGTAAGCTGGAAATATTTTCTACCTAGCTTTCTATTTCTTGCCAATTATCTTTAACAAAATGGTAAAAATCATCATGAAGCACCCAAGAAGCTACAAAACAAAATGGTCTATCCTGAAGTTTTCTTTGAGTCTCTTCCTCCACAAGTTTAAGTAGAATCAGATGGTGATCAGACTTAAAGAAAGGAAGTTAAAAACCTTAGCATTCTGGAACGTTTCATTACACCTATCATTAAAGAACACTCGATCCAATGTACTTTCACAGGTCCCCCTTTTCAAAGTGTAAAATGGCCTAGTACAATAAGATTCAAATAATCAACCTAGCTTATAAATTCTCAATCAGCGGTGCTATGAGAACTGCAAGTAGAAAACTGTTCATGGGAAAAAAGAACACAATTAAAATCTCCCCTTAAACACCATAGGTCATTGACTGAAGAACTAAGCCTATTTAATTGTTGCCAAACAACTTTACGATAAGCCAAGACAGGACTAGCATATACAAAAATAATAAAATAAAATTTAGAGCCTAGAACAATTTAAGTATGAATAAATTGAGGGTGACTTTCAATAACTTCAACTTTCCAATCTCCCTCCTTCCAAAAAAACCATAAGCCTCCACTAATATAGATTTGGCCAAAGAATTGCTTTTAGCCCACTTGCTCTAGTTTCCAAAATAGTTATAAAACCTAAATTATGTTTTTTGGTTAACTCCCTTATGAGACCAGCTAATGGTCTAGCCCCTGTACCCCTTGTATTCTAGAATAAAATATTCATAAAGACACCTTAAAAGAAATTTGGGCTACAATGCCCTCATCCTTATCCATCATATTATTAGAATTACCTAAAGAAGTATGTTGATTCATCATAATCTCTTCAACATCATTTAACTTTGGGCCCACAACAGTATTAGATTGAGCATCCAATCTTGTATCCATTGATCCAACCCAACACCTTGCATTGTGAAAAATATCATTAGACCCAACACCCAAGCCCATATATTCCTTCTCTCCCTAGTCCGTAAAGGTAAATACCATATCACTAGAATTTGGATCCCCTTTCTCCAATACATTAAATTGGTTAGCCAAATTTACATCATGTGACTTAGCTTGATATTTCTTACATGTCCACATCCACTTATTAGCAAGAGGAATATTCTCCTTAGCCTTTTCTTTTATTCTCAAAACCCTTTTCCTTTTTTCTCCAATAGCCACCCACTCAAATTTGCTCTGATTAGATATATCCTTCTTGAAATTTTGTGATCCAATTTTATCCTCAAAATAATTACCCTCTAATTTTTTATGCTCTTACTTCGCCTTCTCTCCCTCTAAACCTTTTGCTATATTATTTGAAGATCCCTTCAAATCCGCCCTCATAACTGTCGCCCTGAAATCTCGCCTAACCAAGATCTCTTACCTGAAGATATTCACCTCTGACATATCTGACACAACTTTGGCATCTATATTTTCGGCAGCCTCATCACTCTTCCTAGACTCTTCAGACGAAGGATTCCCCTTTGTTGTATTTTGAAGAACTATTAGATCAACTTGTATCAATCCAATCTCCTTGTTTCTCACTACATTAGCCTGATCAGTGACTTTCTGTGGACATACATCTCTATGATGCCCATACATTTCACAGTGAAAACAAACAAGATGTTGTCCCTTGTAAGCTATCTTATACTCTTCCCTACACCAAGCAAAGAAAAAGGTAGCAAAGTTTTGCTAAGATTTAATTCAACACAAATTTGAGCAAACCCTCCTTTATCTAATAATGAAGTTGATTGATCAATCTTCAAAGATTTCCCCACCATGTTGCCTATAAGGCACATAGACTCAATATTATATAGTTCTAAAGGAAGATCTGCCACTTGAATCCAAGCAACAATCTTCCTTTGTCTTTCAACCTTCTATGGATTAAAGTTGGGTCTCCATTTCTAAACTAATAAATAATGATCATCAATCATCTACAGCCCTTCTTGATAAGCATAATCAAATCCTCCTCCTTTAAGAAAGACATCACAAAATAACCATTGTTCAAAGGAGTGATACGTATAGGCTTAGACAATTTCCATATGTGAATCAGTCTTAGACATAGAAACTTGAGAAGAACATTTCAACCTAGAGGTTTTTATGATCAAAGAATTTTTCCAAGGTCTACACCATTCCTCATACTTCTTAGTTGAAACCTTTAACTCCAGGAACCTAACTTTCCTAAGTTTAGGCAGAACATCCTCCTCCTCTGAACTATCATCTCCTTCTTGCTCTTCTGAACTCACATCTCCTTCTCCCTTCTCTTCACATCCTTCTCCTTCTTGCTATTTGTTTTTGCAAAATACTTTGTCCAACCATTCATAATGTAATCATTAGGGTCATTCTAAGATAGAAAGCCAAAAGAATTCAGGCTTAACCAAGAGCCCTTATAAAAGACTCTTTTTTGATTCCCTATCACAGATGGAGATCCCATAGTCTTTTGCTCCTCTGAAGTCATTTGTTTTGATGAGAAAACAAACTCAAAGCCTGTCTTTTCTCCTCCAATATTCTCCATCTTACCATCACCCCTGCCGCTAGCTTCTCCATCACCGTAGGAAGCCTCCTTGCCTTCTGTCACCACTCTCTTCTCTCTCTCTCTCTCTCTCTCTCTCTATTGCAATCTCTTTTTTACTCAAACAATTTTTACTCAACTCAAACTAACACAACAATGTCAATTTAAAATTCTAAAAAATGGTTATTAAAAAAATCTGAAAAGTTTAAAAATTTTCTCCAAATGAAAAAAGTTTTTAAGCCTTATTGATTTAATAGTCAGATCAAGAAAATGAAAGGGAAAATAAAGGGGGAAAAAAGGGAAACACCCCACACCCTTGGGTCACCCATTGTTCCTCCACTCTTCTTTCTCACACCATTATTTAAAATAAAATCACCATATCATTTGCATTTAAAAAAAATCTTATTTAGGAAGATGCTTAAAAATTAAAAAATTATTAAATAATTTAAACAATACCAAATTTGGCATAAAGGGGTCATATAAATTTTATTTTCTTAGGCTATATATAAATTAAAAAACTTTTTTTTTGAAATGTTAATGATAAAAGATAAACCCCTTCCAATTTAATTAATACACACACGTATAAAAGAGATTGCTTGCAAGAAGATATGCGATTCTAATATTTGTTGTCATTGGCATCTTCAAATAATGAGTTAATTAATATTAATGGGTAACGTATGATTCCTTTGGCGGAAGACAAAAAAATATCCGGGTGTGTGGCTTTCTCTAATTTACATTTTTCAATGAAAGCAGACAATGACATCGAAAATTCCAATCACAATAAATAAATAAAAATCCCAATAAACCAAAGTCTTCGGGTTGGGCCTAAAATACATTTATTTATTGGTCGAACCCTTTATATATAGAGATAATTCTACGAACCCCATCTTCACTCGGCGTGGTCGTCATCATCTTCATCTCTCTCTCTCTCTCTCTCACTCTGTTCATCAAGTTCATCAAACAGATAATTAGAAGCCATGGTCACACGCGTAATGCTTCAGAAACTCACCTTCTTGGGTCTGTTATATGCAGCTCTACTTATTTCTTCTTCTTCTTCACTGAATGATAAACTGTTAGATTCATCAAAGTTGGAGATGTTTGTGGACGAGGTTCCTGATATGCCCAGAATCCATGGCTACAAGCTCGATCATGGAGTCCCCAAACCCAAATCTCTTCATATCGGCATGTTCAAGAAGAACTGGGTACGTACGCCTTCATTTAATTTACTTCACTTCTTCAATTTTTAACTCTTTTTATTATGAAATTATTATTGTTATTGTTCTAATTGAAATCTATATATATATATATATATATAGAATTTTTGTAAGTGCCTGAAGAATTTTTGTTTTTTTTGTTTTTGCCTCTTTACTTGCTCTGTGTCCATCGATACTTCCTAGAATAAAACAGACAAATATATGTGTAGTGTACATCGAAACTAGTGTTCGAGAGGTTGAAGATGATATATCTTGTTGAACGGTTCTTTACTGTCTTATACATCGTATGGTAATCGGGTCGCTACTACAAAAAGGAAAAAAAAAAAATTACCGGTTAAAAATAGTTTTTTATATTTGTTTCACAATCGGCATAGAAAGAAGGGATGTAAAAAAATTACACTGCTTTTGTAACCGGTGTGGAGAGTGGACTGTCTACATAGTTCAACAAAATTAATTAGTATTTTTTTTTTCGGCCAAACCTTATTAATTAGTATTTAAGGAGTGGTTTAAACCTTTAAGGTCAAACAAAATTAATGATAGCAATTGATTTGATTGGGCTTCAACCTACGAATCTTGTTCATTTAATTTGATTTTATTAATATAGCGTATCAGAGAGTGACAGATATGAGAAATCTACCAAATTTATTTTGAGTTGTTTTCTGATTTTCCCAACTCTTGGAGATGCTTATAAACTATTCTTATTCTCAAGGAAAAAGCCAACGGTTTGTATCCTTATAAGATGAATTTGGAATCTGCTTCTTCTCTTGTTTTGTCCACTGACCTCATAAAAAATCTTACAATTTTTTTTTTAAATAAGGAGCCCTGTTTCGAAAGTTTATAAAATATAATTACAACATTTAATTCTTTATTTTTTTATTATTTTGAAGGGTAAGACTAATATATAAATAAAAAATAAAAAATATTTTACTTTAATTTCAAGAAAGATAATTAATAACAATAAAATTGATTCTAGATATATATTGTATTGCTATAAGCAATTAAAAAGGCCAGTCTAAGAATAATTCTTTTTGGACAACTAAGAGTTGGGAAAATTGAAACAAATATAGTCATTTATTCATTTATTTGTCTTTTCCCTTTTTGTTTTCTTTCCGCTGTCCTGACCCTGTGCTAGTGTGGAAAGTTGCTCAATAATAACCAAAGTGTGATGGAAACAGCTAGCTTCGGCTCAGCCTTTTGAGAAATGATTCCAGAATGTTGTGGACCAATCTCTTGAGTCTCCGCTTCAAATCACAGTACCTTTTTTTATTTTTTTATCCTGAAAAAAATACTATAAAGTCTCCCACAAATATTCAAAATAGTTTGAAGATTTCATAAAATCTTTAAATAGCTGTCAAGTCTTTATAAATGGGGTAAATAAGATTAAAATGACAATGATTAAAATGATCATATTATAAAATGTCTTGCTGACAACTTGATAACAACTATACATCACAAGATAAAAGTTATTGGCAAGTGAGGTAATATTTGTTACTGACAGATATCTCACTTATCAATTACCTTTCTTTTATAATAAATAATCGCTGTCAAATTGTCAATAAAATATTTTATAACATAAACATTTTGATTATTGTTATTTCAATCATATTTACCCTGAAGTCTCCAAGTAACTTATAGATTTTTTTGGATTTGGTTAGAACTTTGGATATTTTGAATGGTTGGGGAGATTTCAAGATGATTTTCTTTTTTTTTTCTTGAAAGCTCATTTATTTGTCAACACCTATGAAAATCTCAAGGGCTCTTAAAGCTTCAGAATTGGATAAATACCAAAAGACTTTATTCCATCACAATATAGTTTAACTTTTTTCATATATGCCATCTACTCTGTCCATTCTACCACCTTTCATTATTTCTTCCAAATCCAAATAGGATCCTGCAGTGACCTGCACAGGAAAATGACCCAGAAATTAAAATGTTTATATTTAATTATTATACTTATATGTAAGGGACTGGCATACATATTCTTCATCATTTTTAGTATTGTTTGGGTATTTCAGAAATTTCACAGGCATTTGCCTCCGACGCCTGTTTTCGCTTTCGGTGTGAATGAGCGTACAGCATCGGTCCCTGGTCCAACGATCGAGGCCATGCATGGTGTTGATACCTTTGTGACGTGGCAAAATCATCTCCCTTCAAAACACATACTCCCATGGGACCCAACAATTCCTACTGCCATTCCCCACTCAAAGAGGGGCATTCCTACAGTGGTTCACCTCCACGGTGGGATCCATGCGCCCCACAGTGACGGCAATGCGAATGCATGGTTCACTAATGGATTCAATGAAACGGGACCCACTTGGACTCGTAAGAGCTATCACTATCCTAACTACCAGCATCCGGGAAATTTGTGGTATCATGACCATGCCATGGGGTTGACCCGAGTCAACCTCCTTGCTGGCTTGATTGGAGCTTACATTATTCGTCACCCTTTGATCGAGGGCCCACTTGGTTTGCCCCATGGCGATGCCTTCGATCGACCGTTGGTGATTTTTGATCGTAGCTTTCGCACTGATGGTTCCATATACATGAATTCGACCGGAAACAATCCCACCATTCACCCCCAATGGCAGCCTGAGTACTTTGGTGATGCTATTATCGTGAATGGCAAAGCTTGGCCTCGAATGACAGTACGTCGTCGTAAATATCGATTCCGGATAATCAACGCAAGCAACGCTAGATTCTTTAAATTCTTTTTCACCAACGGCTTGGAATTCACCCACGTGGCATCAGATTCATCATACATCGAAGAGCCAGTGACAACTAAGGAATTTCTATTGGGGCCATCTGAGATCACAGATATGATTGTTGACTTTTCTCAATCAAAGAATGATACGGTTATCCTAGGCAACAATGCACCTTATCCCTACCCTTCTGGTGATCCAGTGGATGAATCTAACAGCAAGGTGATCAAATTCTTCATACAACCCAATCAAGAAGTTGACACGTCAAGGGTTCCCAGAAAGTTGATAAAATATCCCCACGTGGACTTATCCTGTGTGTCGCACACAAGGTACATTGCAATGTATGAGTACACAAGCGACATCGACGAGCCCACGCACTTGTACTTAAACGCAAAACCATATGAGGCCCCAGCAACAGAAACTCCGAAGGTGGGGTCCACAGAGGTGTGGTATGTGATCAATTTGACGGAGGATAATCATCCGCTTCACATTCATTTGGGATTGTTCAAAGTGTTGGAACAGACAAAGCTTGTGAAATCAGAAGATTTTAAGGATTGCATGGAGAAAAAAAACGATGCTAAGAAGTGCCACGTGGACCAACATGCACGTGGCAAGAAACTAGAGGTTGCTGCTCACGAAAGTGGGTGGAAGAATGTGTACAAGATGGCACCTGGGTTTGTGACCAAGATTGTGGTGAGATTTGGGTACATCCACGCGAATGAATCATATGTCTTTGATGCAACTGATGAACCTGGCTACGTTTATCATTGTCACGTAAGTATTTATTACTATTCCCTTTAATTTTGTGCATTATTGTTTTAATTCTTATTCAACCTTTTTTAAGATTATAAGACAATTTTAATTAATTTATATTCTCAAGAAAAATTAATGAATGAAAATTTAAAAGTATACTCTTTTTTCATGTTTACTTTTACTTAATAGAATATTTTTTAATTTAAAAATTTTAATTACCGGGAATTAAAGATAATTTTGAGAAAAATCTTAATTCCTCCTATCTAAATTATAAGCAACTTTTAACTATAATCATTATATCAATGAAATTTAGCTATATTTATAGTTTTCTCTTTGGGAGAATGACAGTTAATTAGATCTCAAATGAATAAATTAATGACAGGTGGATCCCCGATAAAATGTTTTATAAAATAAATTATAAATATCAATTTAAATAGTTATAAATAAAAAATTTTGTCATAATATAAAAGTTATATTTAAATTTAAATACTTATTTGTAATTGAAAATTTTGAATTTGTAATAATTTGAATTGATATTTTAAACTTATTTTTAAAAAAATTTGATGAAAACTTAACTATCATTAATTATGTGTTTTGGAACCTAACTATCATTGTCCATTTCTCTTTTTACCCTTAAGCTCCAACTGCCAATGATATAAGCTCACCAATAAGTGATAAGAAGGTGATAAATTCTTATATTATATTTCAAATTTTTGGGTCTTTTCTGATAGAGGGTTACTTTAATAATCTATTCAGGTCTATTTTGAGGTTTTAAAAAGTTTAATACCTAAATATGAAGTTTTTTTTTTTATCATATTTGAGGACTCTTAAAGTAAGGTTTAAAGCTTAGAAGAAGAATTTGAAATTAAAATAGACTTAAATTAATGCTTTAGAGGTATAAAATGTTTATTAGAGCCAGTGCCATATAGTAAACTAAGTTAATAAATGCAAGGGTAAAATGAAAAGAATATTTTTTAAAAAATAGTAAGCCTATTATATTTTGGATTAAAAATAGCTGAAAAAAAATAATTTATATTTTAACTGGAAAAGTATTAATTATATCTGAAAAAAATTCAAATATTTTTGAACGTGATGTTTTAAAAAAAGTGTCTTATAATATTAAATGAGAAGTATTAATTACTGTTAATAAAAAAGTCATCTCTATCAATTAGCTGTTAACATCACAATTATTTGCAGATATTGGACCACGAAGACAATGTGATGATGAGGCCTTTGAAAATGATAAAGTGAGATTTATTATCGTGATCAACAATGCAGGTGATTAAATAAATGAATGTATTCTCTACGAAGGTTGAATAATTTAACAAAGGTATAGATAGTTGGTTATTATTAGAAGCTAAAAATTTGATGCTAATTAAGGAATATTAGGGGAGGCAGACTTACTCATTCGAAGTTATTTCGTCTCTACTCGTTTGAATAAAATGCCAATAGCTTCTTAAGGATCAGGGAAACCAAGTTTTTAGACTACTTAATCCAGTCCAATCTTATAAAAAAATTATTTTAATATAATTTTAATTATTTTTAATATATTTGAATAAATTGAAGTTTGAACATAGTATTTCTTTCATTTACATTTTACCTTTCCATATAATATAATTTTAATTTAATTTGTTGCTAAATTATTATTGTAATGTAGATGAGACACATTGAAATTTGTCGAATGTTGTTAAAATTATGAATTTGAATCATTTAGATTGTAATTGAAGATTTTATTGTGGGATATTGTTGTGGATTTTTTATTATTATAAGTATTTTTATTATATTAATTGAATTTATTATATTGAAATGAATTGTTGCCTCTCTTTTTTTTTTTAAAAAGAACCCACCCCAAATTTAATTTGGGTGTGCTTCTTTGTCATAAAAAATAAAAAAAATTAAGTGAATATTAGACTAATAAAACGAGTCTCCCAATTATATGAACTAAGTCTAGTCTAATTAATCTCAGGCTACAACTGAATCAAATCAAATTAGGGGTTGCTTATCTTGATTTTTTTTTTCCTGAAAGAGATCAAATTTTAGATTAGATTCAAATTCTATTTTATCTAGTCCTTCATGCATCCCTTGATATGGCCACTCGCAGCGTGGTCTGGTTTTGTTGTCACACGGTAATTGTAATACTCATCCTTATATGTTGGCATTTAGACCATTTAATTGAGATTTGAATGGTAGAAATTTAAATTTTTAAATTACAAAATAACAGTCAGAATATTATTTTAATTTTAATAAATAAAAATATAAAAATAAAGTGATCATACAAAATTGAATAACTGAGAATTAGATTAGATGCTTATCCTTTCAATTTAATACAAATTTACAATCATGGTAGAGAAAATTAAAGATCTTTTTTCATTTTTGGGACCGGAGAAAAATAAAGATGTGATGTATCAATGTCACGGGCAGAGTTCACGAGTCACGATGACATCTGTGAGCTAACATAGTAACATGGCAAAAAGACTACTCTGGAGCCAATTCTAATTCTGGTGACTGAGTTCATTTTAAAATCACTATAAAATCAAAGTAAACAAACGAATAAATAAGAACTTATTTAATTTCTGTTCTTATTTTTTATTTTTTAATTTTTTTTGCATTATTATTTTTAAAAATTTTTTAAAACAAAACAGAATGAAAATCTATTTAATTATATTAATTTAAAAATAACTTTAGAATTTAAAAAATAGGCTGATAATGATAGTTATAGATGATTAATGATAATGGTTTATAACAAAAAGTGATCAAGTTAATTGTAATTTTTAATAATCAAATGTATATATTTTAAAAATAAAAAAATAATTTGAAGTTATTTCTGTTTTTTGGTTTATGTTAAAAATAAAAAATGAAAACAAATATGGAAACAATTAAATTTAAAACACTTATTCAAATGAGTTTTTAAGCTTTTTGGTTTTCGGAAACAACAAGCTGTTCTTACAAGAATAAAACAAACAAGTCTTAAAAGTCACTCGTTTTTGACGATAAGAGTTAAATTAAAATGTCATAAAAATTTTTAAAAAATGTTTACATAGTTGGATATAATGAATCAGATTAGTCCCATCTAACATGACACTATTACAAAAAAAAAGATATATTTAATTATTAATTTTGTCCTTAATTATTTGACTATTTTAATTATAAAATATGGAGGCGTTGTATAAAGAATGAGAACTTAGGTGATAGTTAATAACCGTCTGTTAGTAAAAAACAATCAGGCGTGGTGTTGCGAGGCATGCCAGAGATGCTGAGCCTCAATTGATAATAAAAAAGCCTCGAGCTCCCTTATCACAATTCACTCGAATGTAAAAGATACACAAGGCTTTAGTAGAACAATTATTTGATTTTTATAGAAATGTGAAAAGTTATAAGTCTAGTGGGATAAAAGCTTGTTATTGTTGTTGTTGTTGTTGTTGTGAAAAGTTATAAGTCTAAATGAAAGTAAAACTAACTGATAAAACTAAAGACTAAAGGTGTAAAAAAGCAAGTCTTTGATTGAGTGTTTATTGTTCTTCTTCTGTGTCTTCGTCTTCTATTTATAACGTCAAAGTGGTGGTAGCTTCTCCCTTAATATCTAGCACACTTTGCCAAGGAATTAAGGATCTCACAAAACTCATGACACGCTCTTTATTCCGTGTTCTCCATTTTTGGTAATTAGCCCGTATCATTAAAATACTTGGGCACGATGCTCGTAGATTCTGGAATTACTTGAAATTGTGTCTTCTTATGCCAATAGTCCACTGTTTTGTAACTTGTGGGATTTCGGCATGTTTATTTTATCATGGCCTTTGTTAAGCTTTGGAGTCGGCCCCTTTATTCATATTAGGTCTGAATTTTCAATTACACAATCCAACTAGCTCTTTGACCTATTTGAGCAATGTTTCATATTTTAGCTTAAATAATGCCCCCCGCGTGCCAATGGCTGATAACGTAAGTCACATGGCACGTTTGAAAAAACTGAAATGTCACTTTGTCTCTGAGCTCCCTTTGTTAATATAAACTTATTTCTTTTTTTCATTACTTCTCTGCCTTTTTTGCCGTTTCTTGACATTCAAGCATTTTCCTCCCTTGTTCCAATCTTTCCTTTTCTCTTAAATGGCTTCCTCCACTTCTGTCGTGCCTCTACTATTGCTCCATCTTCCACATCCTTTGAAAGTTTTCTTGATTCACTGGCCACTATTCGAAATCTTATTGCCTCACTCAGCAGATTTGTAATGATACATATTTGATTGTTTAAAAATCCTTATTTCCCCTTAATTAGGCCCTTATTTTGATATTTCTTTATTTTCATTACAGGAGAATTCTTTGTTCCATGATTCTATCACTTTCTAGTTAGCTTTTTACTTCTCCTTTTTAGCCCTTCTATTTTATTGGGGAAATATACTAACTATTCATTGTTTTTTAGTACTTCTTCTTGGAGTATTCAAATCTCTAACAAGAGCGATATCAGTACTTGACCATTTCTCCTGACTTGTCGAAAGTGACTGCCCTTACCTAACCAAATCTATGGCCGCTGACCTTAGTCTGAAACTTAATCTTGGCTAGGATGACCTCTCCTTTTCCTGAGTCATCTTGCCAAAAGCTCAAGAAATGGCCTCGATCTCATCATGCTTAGGTTAATTAGGTAAGACACTTGAAGGAGGCATATGCACACTAGTGGAAGGAGATAGATCTCTATGACCTTATTTATCTGTTCTTAGCCGATGTCAACATCCCGGTCGATCTGCTGACAGCCTTTTTAATTTTATGGGCTCCAGGCTACAACACCTTTATATTTGACCTGAGTCCCATGTTCATCACATTATGAGATGTCTTCATGTACTTAGGGCTACCTATCACCGAGGAGGAGAACTTCTATGAAATCCTCGAGAAGCATGACTCCTACATCACCCTCTCGGCCAACTTGGAGAGCAAAATTAGGAGCACTGGCTTTTACATGAAGATCATAAAGTTATTCTTCGAGAAGCTGGTCAATGAGCTTGTCAACCATACAGATCACCTAGTCTTCATCAAGATCCTGTTGAGTTAATGGATCCTAGTCCCAGGGGTGGGAAGCCTGTGCAGCTGTACTTGAGGATCCCCACTCCCTCTTCTATGACAATTAGATACCTTTGGGGATAATGTTTTTGTGCTGCCTCTATGAAGGCATGAGGGAGTTGCTAATGAAGAAGCCCTTCAACAACTTTCATGGGCTTATCTGGTCTTTGAAGTTATGGATAAGGGCTTATTTCCTTCTTCTCTGTCGAGAACCCTTCCTTGAAGATTCTCATGCCAACCACCCCTTCACTTACCTTATAGGTGGTCATTTGCTGACTGACTCGAAGAACTTCTTCGAGTTCTTCAATCAGTAAAGCTGGTCTTTACGAAGGACCTTAAAGGCTTTCAATATTCTGAACTACTACCTTCTTACCTAGTATAAACATCTAGTAGACCAAAAGAATAAGCTCGCCCCATTGCTAAGGGATGAGGTCTTCCTTTCAGCCACTACTCCTAGAAAGATGTGGCTATCGTACATTAGCTCCTTCTCCAAGTCTTTAAAGGTCTACTTGGAGTTTTATTATCCTTAACTGGTGGAGGGCTAGTTTAGATTGAGCCAATGCATCCCTTGAGGGTTGTCCCCTCAAATTAGTGTAGAGCTGCTGGACTAGGAGGCTATTGACCATAGAGTCATCCCACACACAGCCCAAAGGCAGTGCAAGGTAGAGCTTGTAGATAGAGATGCCTACCTTCACTTCAATAAATGGTAGCCCTAGTGCTTTAGGCGCATAATAAAGAGCCATACCAATAAGTATTGTCTCTTGTGTTCCCTTTTCTTCCACCTTTCCTTCTTTCACATTATAATGTAGTCTAACTTATTTTAACTTTTTATAGGTCATGATTGGACACAATCACACGTGTTGATGACCTTCGTGAAAGGAAACATCAATGCCCTCACTACTTTAGAGACCTAGACGGCCCCCTCACTAAGGACCGTTGTCCAAGGAATGGAGTTAGACAATGCATTCTCCTAAATCTTAGTCCTGAAGAAGCTTGGGGCCAAGAAAACTCACCCTTCAAGTTTCCTGGACAAAGGAAATGGCCTTGACAAGAGGAAGTGAGTTTTGTCTCCTTCACCCCCTCTCATCGATCAACCTTCCTTCACCCTTTTTCTAGCCAAAACTACTTCCTACAAGGGAAAGCGCATGCATAAGTACTAGCGGACGATGATCTTGTCGATAAAATGTGACGATGATAGGGTGAGTCCCCTTTACTATGGAGGGGTAGAGACTCAGCTCCTAAACTCCCTAGTGGTGACTTCCACTTTCACTTTTGAACTTATGTCAGACCATCAGGTGGTCATCTCTTTTGCCTCTGCCATCCCTTCAACAACCTTAGACTCCCAAGGGGTTGCTTTTACAGCAATCCTTAAGTCAATCCTTGAGGATCCACTTAAGGTTGATCGGGATATGGCCTGAGAGGTAATGGAAGGCATAGAAGGATCTGAGGCTACCGCGGAGGTTTGAGGAGCTACGTTAGCTAAGGCCCCAGATGGTGTTAGTAGTCAAGAAGGCTTTGGTACTGCTATTAGTTAGGAGCCTGCTTCTACTGTAGCCTCAAGTGGTGAGCTAGGGCTTGGGGCTAATGAAGTTCAAGAGCCTACCTCTACTAAGGCCCCAAGGATGGTTCCCCCCATTAGCTCAGTCCCGCTCACTAGCTTGGCAAGTGCCCTTGTGCTTGTGGCTTCTCTTTTTGACGTCCGGTATGCCCATAGTGTCTCGAGAAGTCATATGTGCCATTCCTTAGGGTTCTCCTCGATTGTCTTCTTTAGAATTTTAAGGATTATTTTGTTAGAAGCTTCAGCCTGCCTATTTTCCTAAGGGTAATATGGCGAGGATGACAACAATTTAATCCCACTTTCCTCAATGAAGGCTTTGAAGTCACTTCCAATGAACATTATTCCTTGGTCCGTTGTAATTGTTTGAGGAATCGCAAATCAAAATACAATTTGCTCACATATAAAGTTAATGATGTTGTCCTATTCCACTTTCTTCATAGGGATAGCCTCTACCCACTTTGTGAAATAATCTGTAGCCATTAAGATGGATGAGTGGCCCTTGGATGAGGCTTGATAGATTTTCCTTATTACGTCCATAGCCCATCCTTAAAAAGGCCATGGTTTGA